ACGCAGTAAGTTAAATCTCGTCTGGAATGAGTTGCCTCCAGAACTGGAAGCAGGATAACTGCACGAGCATGGCTCCGAGCCCAGACTAATTAGCCCTGCTGAGAACATGTTAACATGGCTATTTCGCTTCCGGGACCCAAGTTAATACGGCTGAACAGTAAAGCATTACGCTATGCGGACAACTCAAATGTTTTTGGAGATAGATCAATTATCTACACAGTGATGCATTACACAATATAGAAACACAAAGAATGTTAATGACCCAGTTATCCCTAGTCACAGTAAAGGCATGGCTAGACTATTTCCAGGATAAGAAAAACACCTCCTCACTTTTACACATAAGCAGCCCCATGGCAGAGCCCACCAGAGACCCTGGACATGGAGTCACGGAGAAATAGCTCCCTCCTGCCATTCCGGGAATACAAACTGCCTTAAAGCACCAGACGGGAGGTGAGGTCGTAGCCTTGAACTCCGCTTATGCTCATGGCTTTGGAAATAAATCATGTTACCCAAAGGTGGAATGCAGGGTGTGTCCTGGGCTCTTGACTTAGGAGCTCTTAAAATGATTACATTCCAGTGTGTTTAGAAAGTGCAGTTTAACCAAGAGGGCTGTGCCTAATTGCTATATTCTCGTCCCCAGGTACAGCGTGGTATATAGAAGGGTGGAATGGCATACCAAAATAAGAGACAAAGAGCTCACTTGTTCCCACTAGAACAAAGGCCTCTTCTGGATACCGAACACTTTGGGAAACATGGGAAAGCATCAGGGGCTGAAGTCTGATTTCTTGGCAGTTGAGGTCTTGGAAATCAGTCTTTAAGACTGCATGCCGTAACTTTTGCAATACATCACCAAAACCGTTAAAGGGAAGCTTCTAACACAGCAAATGCAAACCACTGTAATAATAAACAGGATTTTCATACTGTAGCGGAGAGACTACTGCTTTTGGCTAATTTCCACTCCATTCCAATAGAATGAGGTTGTAACTATGAAAAAAATGTGTTTCTGTATAGAAAACAAACAAATAAAACCCCCAACAGCCTTCCCCCCTCTCCAAAACCTTTCTGTGTGCTCCTGTAAGTTAGGATTTTCATTTCTCACTTTATTTGAGTGGGGAAAATAGGAGGGAAACCTACATCTTTTCTGGGGCTGTATTTGTGCATATGTGAAGTTGTCCTTAAATAGAACTGCAATTCTGTCATCATTTTGTGGTGGGTATGTATATAAAAATATAGATGACTTCTTACTTGACTGCAGAAGGCACAGTGTATGGATGCTGTAATTTTTTTTTCAAAATCTGTCTCAGTGTCTGATGACTGTGTCGTGCCTTTAGCTGATTCAAACTAGTTCAGCAGTGAGGGCTTGAAGAAAATGTAGCTGTAAAAGTTTATGCTTGTCTTTCTAGAAACAGAAACACGTGGGTCCATGCTCTTAATAAGTTAAGATTTGTACGATCATGTACATATGTGTATCTAGCTGGCTAATATTTAATAGTAGTTTTTTTACTTATGACCTTACTTGAAAGGAAAGCAAATAACCCAACAGATTATACTTTATGGAAGTAGGAACATAACATAAGTAGTATCAGGTGTTACAGATAGGCCAATGATATCTTTTCTGCCTCCCTCAAACCAAAAATAGGAAATGCTGTTTGCCATGATAAATTACACAACTGGTTCTGAAAGTGATTGTTGAAAGCACTTCCTCCCAATTCATACCGATATCCCCTGGTGATATATAGAATGTAGATGACGTAAATCTAAATTAGTGCTATTTAGTGCTACAGTGGCTGTGTTATTATAACACATGCTTCGAGATGGTAAGTATGGTCTTATGAACAGGACAAGTGACAGCTGTTTGACTCTTAGCGAAGAGCTGCCAGCAAGAGTATTATAATCCTCTGGGCCTGAAAGTAGCTGGGAAAAGGCAATGCTTTCCAGAGACTTTCCCTAAGGGGGAGGATCAGTGAGAGACCATATTGTTAAGCCATTGAAAATTAGCCAAAGAATAGGCTGCATTGACTAACCTCCTTATTAAAAACAAAGCCTATTCTAATTTCAGCATGTGTCTCTGGCAGTAGTGCACAGGAGCCCTAAGGCACAGTGAGGTAGAGGCTAATTGAGTTCTAGCAGAAGAAAACTGTGTTTACACCAAGCAAACTATTTCAAAAGTTGCTGGGCTCCTCCCACCCATGGTTATTCTCTGCTTGCTAAGGAAAGAAAATGAAGGCTTAACTTTATGCAGTAGAGGTCACATTAATGAGACAGTGCAAATAGAAATGGTTATGTTATCGATTGTTGCAACCAAAGACATTGATCCCATATCAGAGAGAATTAAGCATAGCAGATATTTCATAGCAAAGCACAGATCAGGAGGATCTTAGTCTGCAAACAGAGGAGTCTATCTGCATCTGAGAGCCTGAGAGATCTGGGGCTGTTCAGCCTGGAGAAGAGAAGGCTTTGGGGAGATCTTATTGCGGCCTTCCAGTACCTAAAGGGGGCCTACAGGAGAGCTAGGGAAGGACTTTTTACTAAGGCATGTAGTGACAGGACGAGGGGGAATGGATATAAACTGGAAGAGGGCAGGTTTACATTAAAAAGTAGGAAGAAGTTTTTTACTTTGAGGGTTGTAAGGCACTGGAACAGGTTGCCCAGAGAGGTTGTTGAGGCCCCATCCCTGGAGGTGTTCAAGGCCAGGCTGGACGTGGCCTTGGGCAACCTGGTCTAGTCAGAAGTGTCCCTGCCCATGGCATGGAGGTTGGAACTCGATGATCTTCAAGGTCCTTTCCAACCTAAACCATCCTATGATTCTATGATTCTATGATCTTTTCATTTATATTAGATAACCATAATAATTCTATTTTAATTATAATAATTTGCACTATACTATTTTTTATTTGCAGATAATCAAGACAAATACACAAAAAAACAGGAGTCTGAATTTTCAGGGGGATTCTTCATCCATCGGGGAGTGCTCAATAAATAAAGAAGACAGCGCAAAACTAACATTAATAATAACCACCTTATCAGTTTCTATTGTTTTGCTTTGACTATTAAAAATCAAAATCAGGACATTTTCCCCCCTTAACATGATTACTCTACAAACTCAGTCTCATTTGAGGTATGATTATGCAGGTCATTAGGATTTCCTTACAATACTTCTGCTTTCATTATGATATCTTATCTGCTTTTTCTCTAGGTAAAGGATGCTGGAGATCTCTAGCTAATATATCTTAGTTTACTATAATCTCTCATGTGCCTTGGCTTGAAAATGTTGTCTACCAATTTCTCCTAATGCATTAAGTGCTTTCTCATAATCAGCAAATGCCATGTCTAGCAGCAAATCATATATGTTTGCATTTCCATTCTGCCATTAATCACACTGCTGTGAAATACCCAACTAAAGATTATCCATCCTTTCGTCTGGCTAAAAACCTATTAGAGAACTGATTTATGAATGAGTTTTTTTTTTTTTTCTTAGCATTTTAGGTCAAGGGTAGAAGTGTGAAATGGCTGTGGTCACTGAAATCTCAATTGTCAGGAGTTTTCTGGACTGCAGAACAGTCATAGATTTACATATTCATACACACGTGTCCACTCTTTGTTTTTCAGTGTGTGTCCATTAGCTGAATGGATGCTCTTCTCCTAGACACATACTACCGCAAATCACAAAGTCTTGTTTGTTTACTAAATTTCAAGCTTCTTAAGAAGACAATTTTCACTGCCAGCAGAGTCACATTGCTCAGAAAATGCAAGTAAATGAAGATATCTGAACAAAATATCACAGAAATGTACCTATTTGTGTGATTGCTGTGATGGTGTTGCTGATATCTAGTTCATCACATGAGATAAAAATTTGCTCAAAGCTTATATTTACTAATATTAAGACAACTTTAAAGTCCAATTTTCCTGACTTTTGCCAATGATTCCTGGGTACCTGGATTCACTGAAGATTTAAGGACAGGATGGGGGCACCTACACTGTTTCTGTTCCTACATTATTATGGGATAAAGGAGTGGATAGAAAGTATGCCCAACACAGAGGTCAATAAACCCTTCTGCTGCAGTGGGAAGAAGTCCTTAGCAAAACCAGCAGGCTGTTAAACAGCAAACTCTATACTGACTGCTGTCTTCATATGCAAAAATTGATTTATCTTTTCATTACCATTTGAGGAGGCTTCTGCCCTTGACAGAGATGCTTCTTCAAAAAGAGTGCAGCTCATGAAAATCTGAGTCTGCATTATGAATACCATAGGGGCAGAAATCTTTCCTAAGGGGCAAAACCAAGCATAATGAAAGAGAAAGTGATGGCAGTAATCATTTAAAGGAGGTCAGGCACCAGCCAAATTAAACTTTTTACACTGCAGCAGACCCAGGGCCTGGTTCCTCTTGGTCAACAGGTCAAGGACTGCACTCCTTCCCAGGGGAGGAAACCTCCGGGCAGATGTGGGTGTAGCTCAGAAACTATATACATTTTTAGCCTCCCTTCAACCGACTGATTATCAGGAATGCGCAGAAACAAATGACTGACCCCAGCGCTCAGTAATGCCCAGGAATGATGTACTGAGCTAGGGTGAAGGGGTGGGTTTCTACAACCCTCCACGCAGTGGGCATTTTCCACAAAAACCCCAATACCTTGTCATTGTGTACACTTCTACAAGTCAGTTCTCACTGAAAGCTTGTGAAACAAAGCAGGTCACTGCTGCATATCTGAAGGTCAATACATTACCATTTAAATGCAGGATTATCATTTATAAGCATATTAGCTTTTCTAAAAGTGGTACACAGTCCATATCAAGTCTATTTTTCAGAGAAGTAAACTTTGGACAGCATTAGTAACCTACGTTCAGAAAAAATACTATGATGGCTCATTGGGTAACAGCACCATTTCCTTCTGATCTGAAAGAAAATGAGATTTTCACAGAAACAAACCAAACTTTTCTTTTTTTTTCTGTTTTTTCTCCTTTTTTTTTTTTTTAATAGAATAAAAAATAGAATCCTCACCTTACAAACTCTCCCAACTCGGGAAAGGATTGTCTTGTCAGATGTGCCACTATCTTGTGATATTTCTCGGAAAAAGAAGTAGATTTTGTCATCATCTGGGTTATAGGTGTCCGGGATGGGAAAAGTTCCAATGAACTTTGCTCCTAGAAGTTCCCAAAAAAAAAGTTTTTAAAATATGAACAAAAATCTTAACATGGGATACTAAATTTCTCTTTCAATATCTGCATTTATTTTGCATCTTCCAGTGAATTAAAAACATCACTATATAGACACATAGTGTCAAGTTGCTTACTAACTCTGAGCAAAACCCACCATTGATTCTGAAGTATTTACTCTTAGTGTGATATTTTTGCATATATAGTTTACTACCACTTGCATAAATATGCAGTAATGGCTGTCAATCTCTGTTTGAAAGTAGTATGACTTTCAGTACAAAATATTGCCCACGAAACTCTGTCTTACTGCTCTTGCCACCAACATCAAGCTAAGGAGATTTTCCACAATCACATGGCAGAATTTAAATTAATTTAATAACACATTGCAGCAGTTATGAGTACAGAAACACACTACTGTTTACTAGAGAGAGCTTGCAAAAAAAAAAAAAAAAATTGGTATCAATGGCAACTTTCCAAGTTATGTTTCCCACATATCTGTGCTATAACAATCTTACTGTCTATACCAAATCCAATATGGTGCCGTGCTGGGATGCCCCAGTTAGCACACTAAACTCCACAACTGACTGGTCAGTGTTAAGGACAGTGTTCTTTGTTGTGCATGTAAACAGATTAGCTGTATCAATGTAACAGTCTGTTTGTGTTATTTAAATGTGCTTTTTGCTAGGAGTGCTTCAGCATGCCTTACCTTGACATGCTGAGTAGTTATATTATTTCTGGTCTCTTCCAAAGCAACCTTGGCTATCTCTGCCTGCATCCTATAGGCGTGCTTATAGACCCAAGAGCTGAATACTCATCCAACACTGCCTTCCTTCTCTCTCTTGTTCATAGAATCATAGAACGGTTTATGTCGGAAGGGACCTTGAAGATCATCGAGTTCATCATTGTTCATGATCTCCAGTCCTGCTCTACTTGTTCACCAGTTGTGGGTTTTGTTTGTTTGTTTGTTTTTGTTTTCTTTTTATTTTTGCACTAAAATCAGAATTTATGTGAGTTCCACGGGCCCCTGACTGTAGCAGAGCAGGCAACACACACTCGCACAAGTGAACCAGATACTCGGGAAGTGATTTTTAAGACATTCCCCAATGTGCTACAATAGATGAGCTCTTCTGAGGGCACTTGGATCAATGATGTTTTTCTTTAAACAGAACTGGCTATACAAATACGGTGCAAAGAGACCCTTGACTCTAAAATACATTCTTTCAGCAATAAAATACACAGTCTTTGTCCCCCATAAGTAGGCAGGCTGTGGCAAAAAGCAGTGAGGAGGATGGGGTAAGGTGGCAGAGCAAACAGAGCACACTGGCCATATGTGGGGAATACTATTATCAGCTTTTAATATATCTTCGTGCCTTTGTCCTCTTTATAATGACTGTTGCTTTATGTTAGCCTTGAGGATTTTTCAGCATGAACTCTATAGTACACACAGGACAAAAAGAGGGTCCTTGATTCAAAAGTTCACAGTCGAAGGCTTGAGACAAAATGGGATATGTTTAAGTGCTGAATGTGCACCTTCATGACAGAAGAGTAAATTTATGGGTCAAAATAGCCACAGTGTTGCTTCCATTTTAAACCTTTCTGACACTAGAGAATGGCATCAGCAGAAAAAATGAAATGATGCAGGCATCAAGCCCTGTAAATTTAAGTTAGGATTTCAAAATGAGCCTAAAGAAAATATTCAATTACCCCTCAGGGCCTGTGAGGCTACTTTGAAGATTAAATCTCTAAGCGTGAATAAATACATAAATATGCTTCCAGTATGGTTTCTTAAATATGTGGTTAGCTAAATAGCCATTTAATAGGAAAACCTGTGAAATACTTCTGTAACATTCTTTTGAATTTCACATAGATTTTTTTTTTTTTAATCCACATTTGCAGAACAAAACTCTGAATGTATGTTTTTTTTAAATTAAATTTCATTGCTTTACTTGGCAAGCCAAATGCAAAAACAAATGTCTCAATACCAATTCCTGGAAGAGATTTAGAAGAATCTCTAACAAATTAAAGGAACACAAATACTTAACGATTTTCAATCATGTTGAAAACACTGAAGTTGAAAGTTAAATTAAAAAAAAAAAATCAACCACTGTTAAAGATATGAAGACAAAGAGACTGAAAACAATTTAATGAAAAAAATCATGATCTGAAAAGCACATTATGTTCTGCAAGTGAGATCTTTGTCTCATCTTTTGTAATCCATCCATACAACATTAAAAAGTGTATTTAAACCAACTGTGAATTAGATTTTTTGGATTCTTTGCATGGGAAAATATTATATGAGGATGATTTTGAACCACTGTTTATTTTCCTATACATACAGTTGTCCCCCTCTAATTGTTTCAATAGAAGATTTTCCCACATATTAATTTCATGGTAAATTGTATGTAACCAAACAGGGGATTAAAGGCATCATGCGCTCTGACAGTAGATGGTACACTAAATTCAGGTGTTGCTCGTGCTTTTTTAAACATGTTCTTGTGACCTAGTGGAAAGAGCTGTTACACCTAGTCCTTCACTCCTGGGTTTGTTGGTGTGGTCATGTTTGCTGCTGGTTAGCTGACAGCTCTCACACCCTTCTAATGCCAGCAGTAGTTTTAGACAGTGCAACTGAAAATGACTTACTTAAGACCTACAGAGGAGTAAGACTCATTAAGCTCAGAAAAAGAGAACAGCAAACGAGCAGTAAATCCCAGAACATGAAGAAATGAAAAGCAACCCAGAACAGTGGGAGGCAGCAGCTCTTTGAGCTGCTCTGGCAGCAGTTGGGCTGCCAGAAATATATATGGCATGATAAAATGCAATGGATAGTGTTCACCTCATTTACCTTTAATTGTCTAGAAATCAAGCTCCTAACCTATATCATCTAGGTCCTCTCTCAGGGAGGGACACAAGGAAGAAAGTGGCAATGAAAAATCCCATTTTAAGGCAGATTCCTACAATGGGTGGAGTGAGTCACCCTCTGGAAGTGTCACCTCTCTCCGTAAATTACAGACAGACACAAGCTTAACGACTGAGCTCAGACAGGATGCTAACTTTTGCCTTTTAGAGCTAAGTGAGTTGAATCCCATCCAAAGTTTGCAGGATATAAAGAAGTCATTGCCTGCAAGTCTTTGCCCTGGCAAAGACTACTAAATTGCAATAAAAAAAAAAATGCAATTCAGGGCAGCACTCATTCCAACTATGGCTTTAGCTTCCTATAAAGGATGGAGGAATGTGCAGCTGTTTAGTGCATGCCTGTACGTAGGGCTCGGGTGTCCCACCACAGGATGCTCTCCTCTGCCCACTGGGCTGGAGTGGGGCAGACTCAGTTCCAGTGGGCGGCTTTGCCATCCGGAGCAGGGCCACCAGCCCCACACACCTTGTCCCTGGCCACGGGTAAGGCAGCTCCAGTCAGTGGCTGCGGGAGCGCCTGATTCTTCAGCTCTGCAGGAGAAGGGCTGATGTCTCAGCAGAGGCAGCATCCCCTCTGTCTTCAGTGCCACCACGTGCAGGAGTATGAGCCTGTGTGAGCGTGAGTCATGGGAAAGATTAGCTGCCTTCCTCCCTTTCTCCTTTGTGGAGCTGCTATTCAGTCATTGAGATTAAGACATGTCTTAATTAGTCAAGATAGAGATTCTCTGCAAGGAACTGGAAGGTATCCTACGCATTTTTCCCTTATGCTTTGTCTTTCCCTCCCTTCCCCCAGGAAAGGATAATTCTGTTTCCAGAAACAGAATAAGACTAAACTTTAAAAATATTAAGGTGCGTTATAGCAAAACTTCCTCAGCCCTCTGGAAAAAAACAAGTTATACATTTTATCCTAAGTAAAACATGAGTCACGCCTGGAAATAATTTATTTCTAATTGTACAATTACTCAAGTATGTACAACTTTTCCTGGAGGTCTAACACATGCTTGGTAAATGGGTGGTAGATTTAGGGAAGAAGGGATTTAGATGAGATGGGAGTTTTAAACCTGAAATCAAGTAAATATTTTCTTTATACCGATATTGGCTAAGAGCACAAATGTATGGAATTGGTAACGTTGCACAATAACCTAGAAATACACTGGCTATGCTATGGCTTATTGCAGAAATGATCCCATCATTTAGAGTTGCACTGGAAATTTTCTCCACCCTTAAAAGGACCATTCCAAAATACTAAAAGCACCTAGTTTATATCTATGCCTCGTAGTATAACAGTGCATGGATTGTGTATGTGAAGTCTTAGACAGAGTGTGGCTGTAGTTTTTTATATGGCTGGAAACAAGGTAAACCTGAAGAATATATGGGGTCTTCAGTGTTTATATAATGTGGGGTAATTTTCACGTCGCAGTCTAGCACAGTAAAGCTGTTTTTCAAACCCAGACATATTAATATATTATTCTCCTTAGAAAACTTTCACAAATACAGGTGCTTTAACTGAAAACAGAGTAAAACATGAATCAATCTAAAAGAAAGAAGAAAGGCAGACAACCCCCACCCAACCTCGAAACAAAACCACATAAACAGTTCTCAAACCTTTAGTTTATTCTGTGTTCTTGTACTGTTCCCTTGCCTCAAAGTGCTCATGAAGATACATTAATAGCATAAAGAAATGTTTGGAACCAGATATTTAAGCTTTAAGTCCTTTTGGGCTGGGAGCTGAACCCTGTAATGCTCATCAAGGTGGTTCAATACTAATGATAACACCAGATGCTCCTCAGGACCAAACTGCAGTAAATCTTTTTTTTTTTTTTTTTTTATGATATTATAGCATCCCTTAGGAAAGCAGCTAGCCCAACCATCTCTCCGTGCTGAGCATCTGCAGGCTGCCAGTGATAAAATTGGATATTCAGTTGCATGGTTAATTACATTGAGAGAACTGCCTGCTGGAACGCCCGTCCTGGTCCCAACCACTTACAGCCCATTTCTGGTCTACGTTGCACAAGGGATGTGTAGAAATGAGAGAGGGGAGATAGGAGAGATGGGACAAGACAGGTTTTGAGCATAGGAAATGAAAGTGGGATAGGTCAGCAGAGTTAGATGTGAGATTTTTCTATCTGTCCGAAGGACTGCTCCTATTTTGAAAGGTAAAATGACTTTACGTGGCTTCTCCTTTCCCCTTCAACTCACAGCAGAAATCCTGAGGTTATGGAGTCATAACTAGACAGAAACGTAAGGCAACAGCTTAGAAGAAGGTAGAGAAAGGGTAGGAAAAAAATAATAATAAAAAAGAACATTTCCTCTTGTTGAGGTCTCAAAGAGTTAAGAGGCAAAATTATCCCTTTCAGAAGTTGTCTGCTGGGAAGACAACTTAACCTTGTGGTCAGCAGGCCCTGGCTTTACAATATACCCATAATAGTTACACAGGCATCCTGAATCAGGGCCAGTGTTGCCACATCTTTAAAGACACTTGACGGCTAAAAGGGGGATGCTTTAATTGAGCAGGGTTAGCTTGTGAGCGAAGTTTTCCATGTTACTCTGTGTGTGGTTTGAGACTGACTGGGTGTAAATGCAGCCAGTTTTTTAGAGGGTTTACTAGCTCAGAATGTTTTTTAACAGGCAAGAAAAAGCAGTGTTTTGCTTGGGAAGCTATTTCAGGGTGCCCTTAGTGGTTTTAAAATGATCCTCACAGCAACAAAGGGTATTTTTCCCCCTCAAAAAAGGAAAAGAAAAGAAAAAAAAAAGACCTCCTACTTAAAAACATGGAATTTCTAGTCTGTCATTTCAACATGCTGTAGGGAACAGCTTTTAACAAGTGATTGGAAAAAGAGTTTAGAAAAAAATAAATTCCAACTAGACTGGAAATAGAAGCATTTAAGTCATGATATCATTCCAATTATAGGTCTATATGCAGATGTATAGATCAAGGACGGAAAGAATGATTAGGTCTTACACTCCTACCCTTTCCTTAATTAGCATTTTCACCTCTGACTTTTCTCAAGTGCATTTTTGCTCCACTAAGGTTTGGGTTTTTTTTTTTTAAAAAAAGCCTACGTAATCCAAAGATACCATGATACAATATCTATATTTATAGTTACTGGACATATATTTATATAAGAAAGGGGCTATTAACTTCAGAGAGGCGGGAACAATGCAAATGACAACAGCATATGTTTGGGATCTTACCAGTAAGCCAGTAATGTTCAGAAATGTCAGTTCTGATGTAATGGTGGTCGTGAGAAGGGCCCAGAGAACGTGTTAGAGCAGTGTCTTTGCCAAGGAAATCAGAAGCTGTTCCAGCATAAAGATACTCATCTGCAAATGAAAAAGAAATAAGGTTTCTACAGCTGTGGGGTAAACAAAATTAAGACGGTTTGTGTCTTGTTGGGTGAACCAACACCTGTGTTTAATTGGCCTATGAACTAATTTAATGTATTAAGGTATTATTGGCTTGTATTTTAATGGAATTTTGGGTTCTGTGAACTTACTTACATTTAAATGAGGGTAATATTTGTAATAATATGCCTGAGAAGTAAAAGAGTCGAAGTTTAATTTTCAGATCTTTTAGGCACCAAGAAAAGTAAATTCCCCAGGCTTTCATGCGTGCTGGGCTCTTAAGGGCAGAAAGGTGTATTTAATCTGAGCATCCTGTCCCATTAGCACTGACCATGGACCTGGGGGCCGTGGCGAGGACATGATCATCTGGCCATTCAAGCTAGCTCTTGCATCCCAGGCTTGCCATGGTCCCAATAGCTTTGCTGCTCCTGGGCTTGAGCTAGTAAACGTGATGGATGCTTCACTGCAGGAACTTTGCAGCTTGGCCCTTTCCTGGTGTCGGGATCTCCGTCCAACACTTCATTCACGAAGAGGAATTTAGGCAGTATGGGAATTCTTCTCAACTATGTAACGTGTTAATGGTAGGAATATGGCTACAGACCCAAATCGTGATCATTTTAACATAGCAAATGATTCCACTAAAATAAATGAGACATCTTGCTTGAATAAGGCAGCCAGAATTTGTCTCACAAGGAACCTATATTTATAACACATTACAGTGTTCTTGCTGCAATTGAAGTTACCATTCAGTCTTCTACCAGCTTTGTGGGAAATGCAAAACTTCACAACCTTAAAAATTGCACAATATTTTCTGTTTTCCTTCAGATCTCAGTTGGAAAAAAAAAAACAAAAAAACCAGTATCACTCTGATTTCTTTTTTTACTACATAGTGCATTTTACAATTCTCTACAATTAACAAGATAGCTTTATTGGTTGGAGGAGTTTGGGTTTTGTTTAATGACTTGCAACAATAAAACCTTGGAGTTTTTAAAAAGAATAAAGGTTCATGTTCATAAACAATAATCATATAAAAAGCAATGATACATAAAAATCCCCTTCTAGGAGTTCTTTCTCCAGGTTTTCTGGTACTCTGTGTGGAAAAGATTTCACAAGATCTTTTAGAGAGAAGTCCTTTGTTGAGAGTGAATGCAGAATAAATACCATTCAACAGAGATGTCTGGGTTTTCATTTGCAAAAGATGTAAATGCACTTAAAAAAATAAGATCAAGGGGAAAAAAAAAACCAAAAAAACAAACCACAACCCACGATCCACAAGCGCTTTATTTGGCCAAAAAAGATCTATCAGCTTTCTTTTTACCTCATTATTATTGTTACTTATGTATTATTTCCATGACAGTATTGGAAAGCACATCTTTCAGACAGCATGTCGCCTTTGTAAAGAAACAATAGCGCATTCTGAAAGGCATTTGTCATAATGAGGAATGGGCAAGGTAATTGGTGTTTGCTAACTGACAGGCACTCAGTGATCGATAAATCTGAAGGGCTAACAGGAATTCTCCATCCTTGCTTAGGCCCTGCTGACAAGGCATTTTCAGCACCTCTCTCAGCTTTTTTGGTATCTCTCATTCCAAGTTCCAGTTATGTCCAGAACAGTTTTAGCGAGCGGTAATTTGTAATAGAAGATGGATGATGAGCAGGTGATTTTCAGTCAAAACCACTAGCTTTTCAAATTTATCTGTGGAATTTACTTGGGGTGAAATGCTGTGTAGAATTCAAAGAAAGATTACGCATTTCTACAAAGAATTAAAATTACACAGTTGTATTAACCTACACACAGGAATGAAAATATAATTAAATATTACTTAGGTCATATATGTAAACTGATTTCCAAGTGTTTCCTGAAGGATACAAGTAATCTTTATTGCCACTTAGCAGATAAATAAAACTAGGCAGAGAGAAGTGACATGCTGAAGGTCACTCCTCTCGTCGGTGGCAGAGATGGAATCGCATCCCAGCGCAGCGTCTTATCTGTGAGGTATGCTGCTCTCCTAGTCCTTTTGGAAATAAAGTAATTATCAAAAGACAGGCCACGATCGCATTCTCTGGTCAGGCCTGTAACTCTTTACAATGCTCCTTGTACATTATTCGAAGCCCTTGACACCAGGCACGGTCAGCAACTAGATACTAGAATACCCTAACCGTTAATTTTATCTAGCTTAAAAATTCTTAGGTACCGAAGTTCATGTTTTAGTCAGCTAAAACACAGAAGCTTCTTCATTTCACAAGATTTAATAGAGCAGTCAAAGAAATAGAGTGCTGCTGAAATTAGCCAACACTATAATAAATCATGGAGTTCTATTGCATTAAAAAAAAAAAAAAAAAAACCTAAAAAAAGAAAGTCAAAGTTTCTAGAATCCCATTTTAAAAATAGACTTCACGGTCTAATATTAAACAGTACTAGGGGTCCCTAAGAAGAATAAGCGCTGGCTTTAATCTATTGTTTTTAATAAAGGAAGTCCTGCCCCATCTGTTGGGTCAGAATCACAAATCATCTATCTTATTATCTGAGAATAAAGACTGAACATTAGTCATATTCTTTTTATAACACAGAGTGACCGATACTTCAAAGCATTGTCACCACTGCTCTTTGGCTGTAAATGAAAACGTCATGGTGCTTCACTCTTATCTTGTATTCATATGCTTGACGGACAAGTTAAATGAAAATTGTCCAAAGCTATGAACCAAACCATGACAAAAGTAGCTCTTATAGTGATTTGAAATCCGGAGGTCAAGCTGACATTCCTCGGCACCAAATGTCAGACCACACAGCGCTGCGATGCACGCAGCAGGCAGATTGCACTATCTTGTTCCTAGGCTTCCAGCTTCAGAAGTGGCTACTCGAGTAAATAGAAACCTCAAAAATGTATTTATGGAAATAGTGGATGTCAGCAGACTTCAAAGGGCAGAACATATCGATAATTGCAGAAAGAGGCCCAGAAGCGCTTCCAACATTGTCTGTCCTTGTGGGTTTTTTTTGTTGTCTTCTTAAAGGAGCAATGACTGGGTAAGGACGAAACCGCCTTCCTGCTCAACTGGCAGAGGCTTCGCAGCTGCTCAAATGTCTCTGTGTTGCTGCAATTCCAGCTCTTTGGTGTCTGCAGACCGAAGGCTCCCTCAGCTCTGAGAGCACAAACTGGCATCAGAAACACGACTAACACCAGAGGAGCTTCAGCGATGGCATCTTCTGAGCCTCTGACCCCAGACTTCACGTTAGGAAGCCATCGCACGTCTGAGAGGAGCGCCTGGCTCTAATGGTTTCTTACCTGCCATCACCGAAGCAAATGGCTGCTGAGGATCGAAAGGGCATTTCAGCCTGCCAGACTCCAAGTTCTGAGTATCCAACCGGAATACCGTTTCCTGAGAATAAACACATATTCATTATCCCGGTGTGGCTGCAAACAAAAACTCACTTAGACGAACTGTTCTGCTCGCGTACAAAGTGAAGGTGTGTTAGATCATGCAGCAGTCATCTCAGCATTGATGTTTACAGTCCGCGTATCTGTTTCATACAGGGATTTTTTTTAACTCATTATTTTAACATGTTCTTTTCACTCTATAGTGAAACACAAATCTTAAAAAAAAGATACAATTATTTTCAGAAAAAAGAAAAGATGCATTGTTCATTTCTACTCAGATTAAAAGCTGGACTGTACTTAAAGGCACTGGCTTCTATTTGGGAAAGTGCTGATAGACTGTGTTGCAACAGGAGACCCAGAAGGGATTCTGGCTGACTTCTAAATTTCTCCAGGGACTGCTGAATAATGTTTGTGGCAGACACAGTTCAGCCCCTTTTAAATGAAAGCAGCATATGCTCTCTCTTGTTATTTTTAACAAGGCTAATGATACAAGAGATATCAGAATAGATCCTTCCTTGCAGTTCCCAAATGCAGTGTGATTAATTCCTGGGTCACACAACAAGGGCATAGAGGAAGATAAAGTAAAGAAATTATTTTAAAATTATTTCTGATGTTTTCAGTGGGCAATCAACAACTCAATTGTTTTAAGCACTAATTTGAAGTTTTACTGTAGTTTTGAATTGCCAAAATGGATGCTTTGACTTGTCCTTTTCATTAATTTCCTAAAAGCACGCTTAACCCAAAACCCAATGTGAGTCCTTCTGAAGGCAAATTGATTGCTCAGAGGAGTAAACTGAACTCTTTGTAGTTGTAGACATTTGATTTTCAAAAGTCTGCTGCTGTTAGAGAAGGGAGGCTGCCTACAGAAGTACAGTTAACATACTCTCGTACATACACTGATGTTTAAAATCCCACTAGTGCTCAGGAATCAAATCATTGTGGGTTTAATGTCTATTGTAGAGATGCAACTTTTGAAGTTAGTTTAAAACAAAAACAAAAACACCCACAAACAAAACACCTCTATGATTTAAACCCAGAAAAAGGTGAAGTGATTTTAATTATTTGTTTCTATACCTCTGCCTTGCAAGGGGACTGAAGAGTACAAATGACAGTTAAGTATGCCCAGCGATGGCCACATAGGATCAGACTTCACAGCACATGAATTCAATTCATCCTTAATGTACTTCAGATTATAAATGACCAAGCCTTTCTATTTCATTGAGGTGTCTCCTAAACTCTCTAGGCTTGGAAGACAAAAACCCAGGATGTTGAATAATTAAGCTCCTTAAGAGAAAAGAAAAATCAATTCCAGTCTATGAACATAAATTCCATTTCCTCCAGCAATTCTGGCTGATACAAAGCAGAATTTGATCATCAAACAACAACCTTTGTTATCTTCCCAAACCTGTGGAGTATCAGGTAAACCAAATTCTCAGGCTACTGAAGTGGGTCAGAGCACATCAAGGACACAACTAAATCAATAATTAAGCTTTTTTTCCTTTCTTTCTGGCAATACTATGTTAATATCCCATTCTCATTTCTTCTAAGAAGTATAATCCTGAGCTGCTCAGAGGACCCGTGCCATATCACATGCAAAGAGGCTGTCTCCAAGTCCAGCAGCACTCAAGGGACTGAGGACTTTATAGATCAACATCAAATATTTCAGACTTCACCCGGACAAATTAATGGACACTACCAGGCATTCACACGGAATTAACCTCCTGCTTTCACTTTGGACAAAGCTTTCAAAGAAAAGAGCATCCCTTGGAGAGCTGTGGCTAACAGCACCAACGGTGCCAAGCCTCATCTTCACTGGCCAAGAGAAATTTTGGCAGTGACTTCAGCAATAGCAAGACTAGGACTTTAATCCCCTTTAATTGTGTGATCCCCTAGGGGATTTGTACTTCTTCAAAAGCAGTGTGTGCTGTGGTTTTGAGTCACCTGATCCACACTGTTTTCCTCTCTGTTTTCATAGCTCTGTCACTGGCCAGCAGACCACTGGGCAAATCCACCAGCAGCTTTCGAAGGTCAGCAGGGCACTGCCTGGTTTCACAGCCTCTGTGAAGCTATCTCAGGCCCTAGCTCTCCCAAGCATCCCACAGCTTCCTGTAGAGGTTGCTAATTAGCAAACATCCATTATCCATTCTTGTAACCCAGAGGTAAAAAAAAATGGGGGGGAGGGGAGATGAAAAAAAAAAAAAAGGATCTGCAATAAAAGTGTTTTGAATTACCATATAGGACCCCTGGCTTCAGTTCCTACAACCAGGAGACATTTTCAGCTGCCTGTCAAATTCATGTCAATGGGTCTGTCCTCAGCATCCTCCCGTCCTGTCACGTTTATCTGGAGAGGAGGTGCAAGGATCGTGGCTGTAGGGTGTTTGGGGTCCAAGAAGGAAAGGAAAAATATGCCGCATGCCATTCAAAGCTGTTAACTCAGTAGGAGGCTGTAGAAGAGATGCCCCATCAGAAGAGGCACTAGTAGTGCTGAACATCAGCCAACCTACCACTGCAGCTGAGCAAGCAGGGGGAATGCAGGAGAGGCAGGACTGGGAGACAGTGGGGGGATTAGGAAATACAATACCAGGATTCTTCTTCCATTTCCTTTCATAAGGTAATTGGTCATGTCTAATTGAGACAGACCCCTTGTCTAGACTGGCTGCTGGACTGAACAATCAGACCAAATCCATAATTTCATAATGTCTGATGAAAACAACCTTCACAAATGAAGTAGTTAAAGGTGCAATGGTAGAGTGAATAAGGCATCTTGCTAATGACCCAGACGTAAAGCAGAGCCTTACTTATACTCTTCCTGAGAGCCTCTCTGTTCAATTCAGCTGTGTATTTGATCATTCAGGCTAAGGAAGCACCATGATACAAGGGATCTAAAATTTCAGTTGCTTCCACCGGAATATTTAAAGTAGCAAAGCAAAGAAGCCTACAAAAATTATTTCATTGCAAGCCCAATCATACAGCATATACCAAACAATACCAGGAGCATCAATGGCTTACTGGGGAAAGCACACCAGCATACAGACTTCAGGCAGCTTCAGTTTTCTCCAACATAGGCAGCCCCTCTGAGCTGGTCAACCAACCCACAGATTGTGTGGAATATAATGATGGGTCTCAGCCTGGGCAAGTATTAATAATTTTTTTTTTTCCTGTTTTCTTTTTTTCTGTGAGCATCTGCCCTTGATTCCGTATGTCAGAATATCTCCAATGTTTATATATTTCAGGTTATTACATTTAATAACCTATCATTAGACCTCATTTGTAATATTCTAGAATTTCACTGAGACCCAAAGAAAAGAGAAATCTATTTCTACAGCAGCATAAGAAGCCTGCACTGCAGGCAAGCGGCCAGACAGGTCACATCTCGATGCTGTCTGAGAGCAGAGCCAGTTATAAATATAGCAAAGGTGTTATACATATAGGAGTTAAAAAGAGACTTGTGGACTAAGTGGCTGCTTGACACAACACGAAAATGCTTCTGTTGTGGGGGTTAGGTCTCAAACATTTACCACTTAGGACAGAGATTTCTTTGTCACCAGCAAATGAAGGCCAATCAGCTGCTAACTTCAGTTCAGGAATACGCCACTGGTGGTGGAGGATACCCAACATCTACTTAGCAACAGGGCTGCAAACCATCTGCAAAGTCCTGAGTTGCCATCCTTGGACCCTTTACAATCTCTGTATTACTGTCACGCATAAGGAATAAGAGACCAGCTCTTTGGACCAAGGGTATATATACATTAAAAAATAGAACTATGAGTGTCATCTTGAACTCTGCATACGTGTGTGTGTGTGTATGTAACCAGAAAGAAATTACTTACTAGAAAGAAAGACATCTGGGTTAAATGTTCTTTTCACTTAGTTAATCATATGAAAGTGTCATTCTGAAGAACTTTGTGTATTAAGGCTTACTGAGGAAAGTGCTTTGTTCAAAAGCGATACGCACATATCAAATGTGAGAACATGAGTTCCCGTCTGACCTGTAAAATCCACCATTTACCCTGCTATTTATGCAAGCTGCTGTCAGTTCATTTTTTACACACTCGCATAGTGTTTTCCAATCTATGATGAATGCTAAACAAGATGAGGGTTGTTCCTTGACACGTCAGAGTAGTGAGGAAACTAAATTACCTCTTTGTGAGTTCCAAGTTCAATGTATCCACAGAGAGGGTGAAACGCTCCTGTGCCACAGACATAAACATGGGTTCGGTTGTAGGGCTGAAGAACCCTGATAAAATTGGCACATTCTGTCTATTAGGAAAAGAAAGAGAAAAGGTTAATTTTCATGTTTACTCTTCTCTTTCACATTACGCATTGCACTAGGTTATAGCCATAGTATTGGTGTATTTAAAATCAAAACTACTGTAACAGAGACTGTTTACTAAATAGTTCAAAGTTGTGATGGCTACAATTTTGCAGTGGCTATCTCCTACGCACTTCATCAATCAGACTTGCAAGCCTAATTCCGCTATAATGCTTACAGCCATGAGAAGCTATGTGGTTGCAGCACAGTTTGGAGGATATCTGCTCAGCCCGTGTTGCAGCAAACAAGCCCTGTCAACAACTGCGCAGAGGTCGGAGAGCTGCTGGGTTAGTCTGGCTCCTGCCTTTCCTCCCAGTTCAGGGTTCTGTGCAAGCTTTAACACCAAAGATTACATGACAGAAATTATTGTGGCGGACTGAAGAGCCTCAATGTAGTTCCAAGGGTATGTTTTGGGTATGAGTGAACCTTCTTTGTACCAACCACATCCTACTGGTCACTTTTATTTGGGCATTTCTGAGTCCTGCGGGATGCCTGGGTCAGTCCTGGCTCTAGCTGGGCTTGGTCCTTGCTGGTAAGCAGCAGAGGACGCTGCCGCATGCTGCAAGGCACCTATGTGGGGTGGCAGGAAAGGCTTTCGGCAGCCCTCCCCAAAATTCAAGAAATACATATACATACAACAAGGTACTTCGGAGGGAATACCCAAGAGCTATGTATACATTCAAGCTACCGCCCTACACCTAAGTGAGAGGCGAGCTGCAGAGACAATGTAGGAAGCAAAAAGGAGATATTTATGATCGATGTCCACAACAAATATTCTCCTCTCTGACCCTTTTCCTTTTGTCTTAGTGAAGAAATAGATCAGCAGAAATCCTCCATATACACTAGTATCAGAATTTTCCCAGTGCTCAGCAGAGGTGTTGTTTAGTTTTTGTCTGCTGTAAAGATAAGCGTAGCAATAAATTAGGATAAAAAGTTGGAATTCCTCAGGCAGAGAGCTGAGAGAGTGTTTTGAGCTGTAGTCCACCTTGGTAACAGACAAGCTGGATAGAAACCACAGGATTTGTGGAGAGAAAAGGAAGAAATTTTATTATACAGCCGGGAAATGTTTACATTTCTAGTGGGTTCTAGACACATGATGTAATCTGCGCTATGCAAAAGAGATATGAAAGTTTTATTGTATATATGAATGCACCTTAAATACATTTCCTAAAAAGACTTCCTAAAGATTTGTGGTTCCAGGGAAAAGCTAATGAGTCTGAGATTTTGTTTTAACCTTAACTGCAGCTGTCTGCAAATTAAGTTAATTTGTACTCTGCTCTGCTACTCTGTTTAGTTAATGAATTATAATGCAGTTACATTCAGGATATTCCCAAGAAAAAAGAAGCAGTTTGATGGGAAAGAAAGGATTTCAGGGGAGTATTGCCTGGAATGCACTTCAGAGGAAAAGCCATTCATCTCTCAACTGCATTTATTACATACAAGGATGGCTTAGCATGATTACTGCCTACAATATTGAATATTTCTTTCTTGAAGCATAAAAATTTAAAGAAAAAATAGAAGCGTAGCAGTTTTTTAAATGAAGAAAAAACACTTTGTTCATTAGTTCACAAAAAAAGTCTATCAACAGTTTACTAAACCGGTTTGTGCATTTAGAAACAAAACCACAAACATACAATATTCTCAGCAGTAATAAAAACTATATACCATACTTACATGGGCATCTTTCCCAGCTAATTTGCATAATTCTACCTTTTCTTTTGCTGCAGGCCAGTAAATCTGTAATGTAGTTAAAACAAGACAAAGAATATGAATATTATAAATTGTCCTGTGACTGCAGTATAACTATTTCCTTGACTGAACAGTTAAAAGAGATTTATGCTTGTTAAAGGAATTTGCATGTAAATCGAAATGAATCTGACTTCGAATACAGGGTTCCATTACAAAAAGTGAAGAGGCTTTAAATCAAAACCCCTGTCCTTTGTTCATTTCTTCATTGGCTATATGTACTTTTAAAAAGTGCTTAGATGATCTGGCTAGCACACCTTGTCACCATTATGAATTATATTTTTTTTCAAAGATATCATGAGCCAAATCATCTTGAAACTAAACTGACTACAAAACAAGGCAAATTACATTTGTGATGAATTTGGTCCAGTGAACTTGGCATAGCTTTTATAAAAAAATACTTAGCTGTTACTGCCAATTTTCAAATGAAAAGAAGTTTTGTTCAAAAAACTAAAGGTAGCTTAAGGGAAATTTGTCGAACAAAAAGTACATTTGACAGAAATCAATAGCACATGGTTTAAAAATGTCATTCATCAACACTAACTGAGTTTACTGAGAAAATGACATGGAAGTTTAGAGGAGAATCTTGTACCTTAGATAATTGGTAGCATATATTACAAATGTTTCTCTTTCTTCTTTCATTTGCACTGCAGAATTCTATAAACTAGGTTCTGGTGTAGATGGAGCCAGATGAAAAATTGCTATCTGTTACTGCAACCCCAATTATGTTTGTGAAGAAATATCAAAGAACAAGAGCTCAGGTTCTGGTTCATTGGTTTCAATTAAACAATCAAAACTGGATATTATTTGGTATATGTTCAATGCTATTAAATCAAAATAGAAGTTAAGTATAAAATCTTCCAGAATCACCATGCTGAATATGGATCTTTTTTCCTTCTTATTTTGACAAGACAAATCTATAGCCAGTTCTCATGACTAAAAATAAAAACAACAACAAATCACACTAATTTTTGAGCAAATATTGGTTAGGAAATTGCATCAAGTCTCAGGAACCAGTATGCAGACTACTAGTAGTCACAGATGCTTTAGAGTAGTGTTGAGTCTCAAATCACACTTTATAAAATCTTAAATAGTGAAATATATAGGAATAAAGAATTATTATAATATGCATTAGAAAAAAAAATCATCATTAGAAAAGGATGCACAACTCAACCACGTGCAAGAGGCATTAACTGCTGTAATATTCCCTTTCTCTCACCCAGCTGCTGGCACCTTGTAGGATGTGTCTTGCCAAACACACAGGCTCAGTCCCGCACTGGTAAGGAAAGCAAAAGAGTGTCCCGTATCAAATAGCTTCATCACTGTCCAAAATCTACAGTCACTGTTCCTCTCAATCTGGGAATAGTCGTTCTAATTCACTTCTTCCTCCTCTCTGCCCAGTGAAAATGGATGTATTGGCTTTCTGCAAGGAAATTAATTTCCTCTCAAGTGAATTTACAGTTACCTTTCTGATTAGAAGCTCTTAGTAAAGATAATGTATTTTAAGTTACTTAAACCTTAACCTTTTACAGTAATATTTACTTAAAGTCAGAGATAAGGCAGTATAACAACATCTCGGCGCTGGAGCACAAATTTACTTTCCCAGAGCATTTTCTCAGAATGATGTCGTGATAGCATCCAGGTATGAACACACAATCTGAAAGCAGCTGTGCCAGTGTGTCTGTATTACAGAGCATACAGTGCCAGAAAGTATTGGAAATATTGCAAATCCATCAGGAAGAGTTGAAGGCAGCACGAGTGAACACATCTGGTCTCTGCTTGGGCAGAGTGGGATGGGTCTGGCTTATAGCACTGGTCTGGCGCAAGTGCCACTGAGTTAAGGAGAAGGAAAGCCTGAGGCTTAAGAGATGCTGGTGAACAAAAGGTGATGAAAGAAAACAGATGGAGGAATATAAGATCATGGATCTCCAAATACATTTGGCCAAGAAGACTTAAGCTGATATCTGATCTTCAGTTCTCTTGTACATAAACTTTACGCCCAATTCTGCCCAAGATTCCTGTATCGGTAAGAGAGAAGGCTAGAGGTCTTTGAGGGTTTTTGGAGATTTTTGGCCAGAGTTTAGGCATCCAATTAGGTAGACAAGATCTCTCTCTGTAGGCTTTTGAAAATGTCCAGCTCTCCTTGCCAATGACACAGAAGAACCGGACTCCTGCTTTGGAAGGTCCAGTTACTTTCAAAGACATCTGCTTGAAGGCATCACACATAGTAAGACTCAAATCTACCCTCAATTCTTGTACATATTCCTTCATGGGAAACAGTGTTTGTCATACAAGCTGGACCAGTCAGGCTGAGATATACACACCCCCTTTTCTATGATAATTGACTATGGTCAATTATCATAGAAAAATCAATTGTTTGACTTTCCAGCTATTCAACGGCCTCAGTATTTAGCATTATACAAGGCCACATTAGAGAATGAAAAGTGAAGCTAAGTGATCCAACTTTAAAATCAATTTGTGATTATATATGGGGGAGTTAAAGTGATATTTATTTGCTTTCCATAGGAGAAATGAGAGGTTCCCAGAAACTGTCAGTTCTAAATTGTAATAGGTCAAGAAAACTGCATAATAAATAATGAGTCAATGTGCTGAGCAAGAAAGCATAAACTTTTTTTTTTTTTTTTTAAATTAGATCACATGCTGTGTAACAGTACCACAGGTCTGGTTCCCTCAAACACTGACAGACTTTACACATGTAAAATAGTCTCACTGAATTCTCACATGCATAGCTTATTTACATGCATCTGTGTTGACTTTTCTGTAGGAGGTGAAATTAAATCTTAGTACCATATTTTATTCAGACAAGTTACTTAGTTTCACAATATCCAAAAAGTAAGACTAAATGCTTGGGTAGTTTCTTTTATAGTTAAAATCTTTGAGCTTATAGATGGTTTGATGCTTTGAAATTGGTCATTTTGTTTCATATTTTTTTCAGTTTACATGCTAATTCACAATGGTAACATCTTCTTTAACAATGTTTTTTCCTAAATTCCCCAAAAAGTAAAACCTCAAAGAAAGAAAAAAAAACCCTAAATATCCAAACAATATACAACATTGACATGTAAGATTATAATAATTTCATGTTACACAGTTATACGAATTTTATACATATAATATATATATAAATATATATATATATATTATACATACAGAAATTTTACATATAGAACATATCTCATGGTTGCACCTGTATCTGAAAAGGCTGGAATAATCTTAGAAAAGCTACTGAATTTAAGGGAAGAATGTAACTAGTTGAAATACATGAACTATACACTTAAACAGGATTATTTTCTTCTCTTAATCTTCAGTTTATTTTCCTTGCAAAATATCCATATCAAAATTCCAAAGGCCAGCTACTGTCATGATATCCTGATTTTATCTTCTATAGCCCAATAAAAAAAAAAAAAACACAACAACAACCAAAAGACCCCAACAAACTTACCATTACTTTTAAATCATTCTACAAATATTTTCTTAAATTTAGCAACAGGAAAGAAATTAAAATCTCCTAATAAATGGAAGTTAATACATTCTCTGCTAGCAGAGTGAAAGAAAACCTCCCAAGAGTACAAAATTAAGTAGTACATAAGTGTAGGACAGATAAGGTATCACTTTAAAGGGTAGCTGGAAATTGATTTCTGATTAAAACAAAACATTAAAACCCACAAAGGTCCTTTTCAGATCAGGAGCAGAGTAATTCCTGAAAGTAACATTTTCCCTTCCTCCAAACAGACATTTTTACTATAAGAAAAGAATGAAAAGGGAAAAGTGAATTAAAAAAAGATAGATTATTTGCATACACAAATTGAAACATGGACCATATATATATATCGTTATATGCATATAAAAATGGTAGCTGGACTCACTTCTAAGAGTTTCATTTCAGCAGCCATCTGTCATGAATTAACAAAGCTGGTTAGAAGCGAGTAATTTCCTCATATTTCTGTGTCTATCTTTCTCTATCTACTTTTGTTCCTAGGCTAACACTTAGACTATAAATCTTTAGGGGAAGTGATGCCTCAAAATTAAAACAGTGAACTCTGATTCCAAATACACTGTTGTATGAAATTACAGTGTTTCCAATGAAGTTACTAAATCCAGGATGATACAGAGCTTTACCAATAGAGTGGAAAATACTTTATATTGTCACAATACCACAGAGGAGGAATACAGATACCTAAGCCAATTGCAAGCCTACTGGTCTTATTTCATCTGTCGGCAAGGCTTCAAAACAAATTTTTAGTTAGGGAAGGAAGAACTTAAGTTTCCAATGAAATTGGAATAACATACAAAAGACAAAATAACTTAGTAAAGTGACGTTATTTCATGCTAATATTGTACTTTTCTTTAATAATATAGCTGAAATGCATACTACATTAATGTGGTAGATCTCCTCTTCATTAGGGCTCCAATTAAGTATTTCATAAACTGCCACATGGAAACTGATTAGCTCAGCTGGCAAAACCAGGAACTATTACAAAAAAAAAACAGTTTGATAAATAAAGAGCTTGAGGTAGAAAGTTACTCATGGAGTTCCTCAAGAAATACTGTCAGAGCTCATCCCATTTTGTATACCCTTGGCAGAAAGGTATACCCTTGTAGCCTTGGCAGAAACTCAGCACTCTGCAACAACACATGCAGATAAGACAAAGTTGGGAATCACCACTAATACAAATGAAGACTGGTAATATGCAGGAAGAATCAAAGGGCTATGAAGACCAGAATTATAAACAGATAGAGGAAATGGGTATAAACTGGTCATAAATAAATACAGATTGTAGATTAAGTAAATGTGCAACATCGGACTAATGAGGTCCTGATCTGTAGAAACAACCTTCCTAAAGGAGTTACACAAAGCATCCCACAAGGCCCCTTGCAGCAGATTTGGACCAGGTTATGAAAGGAATAACTGGTACATGAGGTAGCTGCTGCTGATAGCAGGGAGTGAGACCAATTGACCAACATGACTC